CTAAAATTACGTCATAATACTTGTGCACTATTTAGATCACTATGAAATCGCATCTCGATTGATGCTTGAGAACACCCATAGGTTAGTATACATCAGTATGAATACACATGCAAAAGTAAACGCGATTATGTATGCGAAATTGGTCAACAGGGCTGGCTTTATTATTACGATTAAAATAAATAATTACAGAAAAAAATTCAAGGTGATGAAGACACATTCCGGGAATTTGCCCTTTTTTTCTTTTTTGATCTCATATCTTCACGTAAGTGGGGATTAAATCACTTACCTTTCTGGTTCTTTGACGGCGAACCTGGAGGAGTTAAAACCGTTGATGTGGTTTCATCAGAATCATCATCATATCATTCCATTTAGCGTATTGTAGTTTACGTGCACAGCATGCAATTGCGGTCTATAAACGAAAATGTGGTGAGTTATAATTTTAATAAATTTAATAATATTATAGAACCAACCCTAAATGTCAAAAGTGCATGGACCAAAGAGTATATATCTTCCGAAGCGCCTTCTGAAGTTGTGATACTCCATAGGATCTTTGCTCGTTCAAGTAGACAACTCCTATAAATCTCAGACTTTTTATATATACATCGAACGTCCAACGTATTACCTACAAGAATATATGTTAGAAACATTCAAATATATAATACTGTATGTCAAGCAACGTTTATTGTGAATACTTCCATCATCTTTACTGTCATACTTCTGAACGCTCTTCTAGTTTTAGGTAATCTTCTTATAGAATCAATAGAATCTTTTGCCAACCTATTCAGTTTTCTATGATCATGTTCTTGCTTGTCCTGTAGAGAATTTGGTCTGCCGGTCTCAAGATACCCAGTTTCAATTCTACTTCCCTTCAGTGTTAAAACTACTGTAAAGTCTGTGCGCCGTGCCTTTTTTTTCGAGTTCTTTCTCTCAGCGCTGGCTGTACTTGCCTCATCGCCCCTATGAATTTGAAAAATATCATCATCAGTCACTAGTGTTTCGGGCGAATTCGAAATATTTCGCCCAGACGAAATTATTTTACGCTGGCGAAATGTTTTCGGACTTCAAAAAGTGCAAATTACTACATATTTTGCAGTTTGAACCGAAATTATTTAGCTCTGGCGAAATATTTCGGATTTTAGAAATTAATTTAGCCTGAAACACTGTCAGTCACTATTCTTAATTAATTCCACTAAAATCATAATATTTACCATACGTCCCATATCTCAGCATTTACCGGCATGGCAATATTTAATAATGGTGAAAGTATTTCACATACAAACGACCCCTCGTTTATCAGGAGTTTATTAGATCTATACAATTTCCATTTTGGAGATTCCCATACCCAATCCCTAAAGATATAAATATTTATTGCATCTGTTAAATAACAAAATAATAATATAGATTACTCACAATGCCTTTGAGAATTTATGTGTCAACTCTTCTAACTTTTTAGGTTGATCCAAAAATTCCCCGTATAAGGCATCGCCATATTCTTCATCGTGATTCTTCTCTTCCAACATGCCGTCAATTTCATGAGAATACCACGTTTATTCTTATTCCCAAATTTCCCATACATTCGTGTTTTTATGTTGTTTCCTTTCCAATTATTTGTGTTTTTTTTGCTTGATTCTTTCTGCTGTTCTTGCGAACAAAGAGTAAGTAAAATGAAAAATAATTCAGATAAACTGTTTTTCCAAGTACAAATTTCTTACAAATATCCTTTAATGTTTCATCATGTTGTATCAAAAATTTCCTGCTTGGAGCCTTGAAGACTTTTTTGTCTTCTTCGGTAAAAGGCTTTGAGCTATCATCCAAAATTCCTGAGCACAATGGATGATCATATCCAAGTTCCTCTATTTGTATTTTTTCAAGTTCGTTTTCGATATTCTTCCACATGGATTTTTCATCCTCTTTGGAGTTTTCATCCTCGTTGGGGTTTGATAATGCAAGCTATATTATTAGGGTTGCTGGTGCAGGTGGCGTCGCCACTGGTGCAATGCTTTAAACTTATATGCTAACTTAATGGTGCAGCAGTGGTGCACCACTTGCACCAGCAACCCTATATAGTATATATCAGTTAACAAAGTGATAATTCTTTAAAAAAGATTATATATGTTGTACGTTGCTCTTAAATAACCGTTAATTCAAAATTAGCGTACCTGAATTTAAAATTTATACCGATTAAAATGTAACATACCGGTACGTAGTTTTAAAAATTATACTGATTAATATGTAACTGGTAACGTACGAGTTTAATAAATTAGATTGATTATAAAAAAAAAAACATTCTTTGTTATTTTATCTTCCATAATATGGCTTCAAATCCTTTGTTAGTTTTTTCGTTTCTTTCATTTTAAGCTTTCAAAAAATCGTTGATGATTATATGAACAGTAGAAAAAACGAAAGACATATAATGAATCGTTCAAAATATGTTCATTGCCCGGCTATTTTACGAAACCCGTCAAGTAAACATGAAAATTCAAACTTAAAATATTTGGTTTTTAATACCTTTAAATTAATTAAAGTTGGAAGTATCGATGGACTGAATGTTAAATCCGATAAACATAATAATGGTAGCAAATCGACATGTTACTCAGAACCGTCAAATGATTTATAATCTTAATGTAAAAATGATATAGTGAATAAAGTAAGGGCCTTTCCACTTTTCTCTTTGATCCGTATTTACTAAGTTTTTAACGATCTTCCCTTCTCCCGTCCGTAGCTTGTATGTTTCCGGGGCTCCGTAATCGTAAAAGAAACCTGGTGATCCCGTAAAGATTCGGATTCCTGATATTGATAGGCTTCCCGGTAAACGGGATGACATGTTAGATCAAATGTAAACCGACCCATTTTGAGGTATATATGTATTTTTTATTTCTTTAATTATATAATAATATTTTTTTATTTGTGCGTTATATTGTTGTTCCGGCAACAATTTTTATGAAATAAAGAGAAGGGTCTCGTGCCCTCGCCATTTTTTATTTTAACGCGATAAAAAAAAATATTACACAACTGGCTTGTGTAACTGACTTAGTATATACGGTTGCAAAAACTAATCTTCACATCAAGAGTAAAGATACTTAAAGAAAAATAATTTTAACTTGGCTAATTCAAACAAATCGAAATTAATAATTTGGTTTATCTATAGATAATGTAAAAATTTTTACTAAATTAAGTTCCTGCATAAGGTCAAAATTTCATTGTTATCGATATCTTTTTATGCCATTTGTAATCAGATAGAATGGCAATTTTCTTCTAATGGCTTATGCCTAATTAATTGTGTACTTCGTAAAAACTATCGTAATATTTATTGATCCAACAATACCCTATAAAAAAAGTCGATCCGTGTTTTATATTCCATGTTTTTTTCCATAAATGTTGCAGTTTATAACCGTAAATCACGGATGGTCTAGATTTTGGTCGATCATGTTGCAGACCCACCTAGTACTTATCGCCACCAAAATCAGGCCGACATTAAAATTAATGAAAAACAATAATGACGACTAATAATAATACGTAATAATAAAAATAAATAACAATTTACGTTGGAATTTTTGTTCGACTCGTCGAATTATAAAACCAATACAGGTGACTCTCATTAATATCAACCCATATGAACCTGGTTTAAATTATGTTGATAGTGATATTAACGAGGGTTTATATTAAAGTTGATATATAAGAGGGAATTTTGATATATAAAAA